TAACTTTCTCGACAAATTTCCATTTCCTTATCAACGTGAACCCAAGTCACTTCGTTTAAAACCTTATTTATCAATCAGCCAACTTGCTGCTGGATGACAGTTCTCCTGCTTATAATACCGGTGTTGTTATTATTATGTTTTTAACCTAGACTAATATTTACTTGTAGAAAGACATCAGAGATTATTATACATATGTTAACGGGGTCACTGAATTCGTGTCGTTCAGCTGTTAAAAATCGATTATGCATAAATTCCCTGCGAAGAAGAAACAAAAACACAATACTGCTGACGTTGCAGTTAAATAAAACTTGGAATTAGAATCAAAGGGAAAGAATTACAAAAAAAAAAAAAAACTAAAGGGAGCAACTTGTTGAACTGACAAAATGCTTTATTTTGATTGGATGAATTTAGTTTATCATCAAATTTAAACTTGACTTTATGGCACGCTGAACTGAAAAGTGAGTTATTAGTTTTCTTTTATTAATTTTTGGGTTTTTTTAATCTGATTCATCAAATAACTAATTCATCTTTATATTTGACACAAAATTTGATTTTTGTACGTATTTTTTTAACTTGCTTGCAATTTTTTAAAAGAAAATTAGTACTGTGTATCGACCGTTTTCAGCATTTTGCTTTAGTTTACAATATTTAAATTTTTTTTTGTTATATATTGATTTTTATATTTTTAAAAGCTTAACATTTTTGTGTTTCCATCACTTGATTATTTCTCGTGCGTTTTGTGATTGATCTTTCTTTCTAATTTTAAATTTGTATTATAAAACAAATACGATGTATTTTAAAGTAAACTAGAGCTTTGTGGTCCGAAAAAGACTTCGTTTTAAAACGATTTTATTTTTAATCTGCAAGAGGGAGTTTCTTTTACTTCGATTCTTCATTTTTCTGTATTGCTTACGTTAAAAAAATGAGCTTGCCTGCCATTTACAACCCTAGATGAAGACAACGACTTAAATAAAATAAAAAAATAGTTGGTTGAAAAATTATAGCCTACCCTAATGGAATTGATAAAATCACATAAATTTTAAGTACTAATTACGATGTCGAATGAATTCATTCAAAGAAACCTTAAGAAGAATAACAACTAATAATTTGCCTATTCTTGTGCTAGATCGGCCTTCAATAAGCAGCCAGCCTAATTAATTACGTTTAGTAACAAAAACAATTGTTTAAAAAAATGATGCCTGGAAGTGGGAATTGTCAAAATATTGTGATGGGATTGATTGCAGCTTTGCTGCATGATATATATTTTTTTAGTCTTACTTAGTCTTCTTATTTCATTTTTTTTTTTCTTTTTTTTTAGTAAACTTTTTAAAAAAAATATGAAAATTTTTTTATGTTATTATAAGAAAAAAGACCAAGAAATATTTTTGGTAAAAAACCATCTATTTTAATGATATAAAATTTTTGGTAAATTTCTATTTTAACGATAAAAAAAAATGGATGCATTTTTTTTTTTTTCTGAAAAATTGTAAAAAAAAAAAAAAAATGCTACACCTATTTTTAAAAAAAATTACAATTCAGCAATAGATTTTCTGCAGTAAGCCTTTTCATTTATGATTAGTAAATATAATTTTTACTTAATGATATCTGGTACAAATTAATGCAGAATTTTTGAAAATTTAAAACTTTGAAAATTTTTCTAATTAGTTTTAAAAAAAAATGAAAAGTGCTACAAAAATTAATTTCTTGAAATTTCATAAAATTAAGTGGGGAGTAACAGATATGAAAAAACAATTCTTACCAAGATTTTCTAAAAGAAAAAAAAGAAATTGCCATAGTAGTCTCTGATAATTGTACACAATTCACTGCTTATATTGTAAAATATTCTCACTTCAACATATTACTACCCTGCTATATTAACCAAGGTCAAATGGACAAACTGAGCAGTCTGTGGGTACTTTTAAGAGAGCTTTGAAAAAAAACAAAAAAAAAACAAGTAATGAAAAAGTGAGTGAAGGACTACAAAAATTTTTCAGAGTATACTGGATAATGCTGAATCCCAATACACCATCAGACATGTTACTGACAGAATTGATGTTCACTAGAAAAGTTAAATTATGTTTAACAAGTTGTTACCAGGTCAAAAAGTATAAGAACAGATAACAAAAACGACACCAAATTTTTCACAGATGGTGAAAAAGTGTTTTCAGAGTATATCGAAATGAAAAGGAAATGTGGGGAAGGCAGCCTAATAAGCTCATGAATTGGAAAAATTATCTCTTTGGTAAAAGGAAAAAAAATGGGTACACAAAAGGCATTGGAATCGGTTAAAGAAAAGGTTTATTGAAGAAAGGCCCCCCAGAATGGAAGACCCTATACAAGTATTATATAATACTTTTGATGTACCAACACCCCGAGAATTTGTTGAATGTACCCAGAAAAAGGAAATGTACAGAAAAACTAAAGGTTGACCCAAAAAGAAAGAAATACAAAGTTCAGTATGTTGGGGAACTTGCCAGAAAGAGAAGGAGAGGGTGAATACTAAGAAATAAAATAAAATTATTTACTTATAAAAAAATCTCAAAAGTGGGGATGTTGTGGAGTAACTAACACTCTCCTGGTAGCTAAGCAAGATGCCTTAAATAAAGAACTCCAAGTGAGCCAGGGAATTCTGTTGGAGTCCATCAAGAGAGTTTCTAACAGACATCACAGCAAGTAGCCTAAGCAGGACATAATATTATAACTACTAGGTTTGAGTTATAACAAATGTTTCAAAAATAATTTAATTCATTTGTGAATAAGAAAGGAGGTACAGTGAAGTAATGGATAGCGGCTTGGATTGAGGAATTGGAGAACTGAGTTCAAATTTGAATCAATTACATTCACTTACATGCTAATACCCTTGGGAAAGGTATGAATCTTCTTCTCTCCACAGCTATAGGTAACTAGCAGGACAGACCAGGTACTGTAGCTTTGGATGGCAACTGGTCTACTGCAGAAATAAATGGCAACCTACTGTGGGGAAAAAACATCAGCCTCGTCAGTCATGTATTGAAAGATACATGATTTCCTAAGCATGTATCATGCATGGCACATGGCTGACTGTGAATAAGACCTGAAAGTTCAATTAAAATCTGACAATTATCTGATTTTTGCAAAAATTTCCAAATCAAAGTTTTTCACTGCAAAAAGATCTTAAAATTTCCCATACTAATTTATGATCATACGCAAAACAAAATTTTTAACAAAAATTTTGGCAGTTCTAAAAAGTATTAAAAAATATAATTAAATAATTAAAAATCCTTTGGTCTTTCCTCTTAATAATAACAAATATTTTGATGATAAAGCTTTGTTTTAAGTTTGGGGCATTTTTTTTCATGATGTATGCTCATATTTTAGAGAATCTTTGGAGGTACCTACTGAATAGTTTTTCTTTTTTTTTCTAGAAAACTTTTCTTTCTCAATGCCATATTTTGGTACTTTGGGATGACTTTAAAATGGAGATGGGGTGATATATATTTATGTCAAGTTTGTTATATTCACTTATGCAGAAATACCCTTGGGCAAGTTATGAATCCACTTCTCCCCCCAGCTATGGGTTAATTAGGAGGACTTTTATAAAAAAAAAACTTTACAATCTAAGAATATTTTCCAGCTTTAAGTAGTCTGCAAAGGGTTGATAAGCCATAAAAAAATAAATCTATCAATTAACCTTGAATTTGAAGTGGTTGATTGCATATTTTACACATTTTCATTTACATATTTTACACATTTTAAATGCAACTTTTACTTTTCAAATAACCTAATACATGTATTACTTAGATTGATCAGTCAAATGTTAAGTTCATAACTTTGTTTACATCATTGTTAACCCCATATTATTATAAATTGGGGGAAAAGAACGCCAGTAGTATACATAATGAGACAAGTACAGGTAATTTTTGAAAAATCAAGGATTGATTTGATACTGTATAAACAAGATCCCCTTTGCTTGAGGTGCTTGACAAAATCCAGAAACAAATATGCAATATGAGAGGCCCTGATCTGGCATCTTGTCTGCAATCGCTATCCCACAGATGTCCCGTGGACTCTCTTTGTCTCTTCTACAACTATTTTCATGGCAACGGTTCCAACAAGCTACTTTTGCTGGTTCCTGGACTACATGAATAGGCTACCAGGCTGGCATCTTTGTCCCACCTTTTACTGCCAAAACGGTTAAATGTAACCGTCTCTTCTACTCAAACAGCTTCTTCTCCCGCACTTCCTGTCTGTGGAACTCCCTTCCCCTCACTTGCTTCCCCGATGACTATAATCTTTAAATATTCAAGTGTAATGTCAATTGACATTTGACACCCTGAGCTTGTTCCCCATCCATCCTTTCTTCAAGCACGCCTCTTTACTCTTGTTCACAATCCTCTGTAACCCCTTGTGTGCTAGTGGCACTCCCGCCTTGCTTGGGGTAAATTGCTTTTTTTTCTTTTCTTTTTTTTTTCATTCTAACAAATGCTGATTTGAAGACAGTCTGTTGTATGTCAATCAATCTACAAAAATTGTTAAAAAAAATTCTTCCCTATTTTTATTACAAGCGGACCACTCAAATTAATTAGTACCCCTAAAGCAATTTCATTCACATTTTTTTTTTTTTATTTATTATTTTTATTTTGTATTTTATTTATTTATTTATTTATTTATCTATTTTTTGTAGAAATCAGAAAATGGATGTCTTAAAAGAAAGGAGAAAAAGTGTGAAAAGTCGCCGCCGGTCATTGCGCAATCTTCAGACTGCTGATATTGGAGGACTGGCTGTGAACCAAGCCGATTCTATTTGTGATACCAGTCTGGTTAGTCAGCCAATGTATGGGTCAATATGGATTGAACAATCAGAGTCTCCAACACGTGTCCGAAAGCCTCGTAGGAGTGTCTCTTGTAGCAAAACACCTTGTGACTTGGTTAATGATGTGATCAAGAAAAATGTTTATGAAAAAGAAAATTTCAGCCCTAATTTATCACCTCCCAAAATGGTAGAGGACATGCCAAAAAGAATGTCGGTGCTCTGCTCAGTCAAAAGCTCAAATAGTCCCAGAGGTGACTGTTCTGTGGAAGATGACCGGAATCAGGAAAACAGCTATGAAGAAATTGGGGTTCCACGTTTTGGACATAGAACGCAGGATGAATCAGTATCTGAAGAATCGTTGGTGAGGACCATAAGTGATTTGTGCCTTGATGTAACAGATCTTCAGTGCCAAGATGAAGAGGTTAACCAGTCTGTTGAAGATAAACTACAGCTGTTATTAGATTCCATTTCAGAGGAGGAACAAAATAAAATTACTACAGAAAACAAGTCTCTGTCTCCAGATCAGATGACAACAGAGCCTCTAGCTGACCTTGTCACTTCATTTGTCGAAGAAAATTCCCAACCTTCTGTAGAACTCCCTTCTGATTCTGTGCATAGTTGTTCCAAATCACCTTGTGATGGTGATTGCGAATATTCCCCTCCAGGCTCCCCAGTGGAAGCTTGGATTTCTAATGATAGTTCGCTTGATTTCTCTGGAGAGAAATCCTCCAATGGTTCAAGTAAAGATTTTCCAGCATTTTCCACCAGCTTATGTCAAGATTTCCAGCACTTAGATATTTCCAACAATGATGTGGGTACAGGGAGTGACTCAGAGACAACAACCGTGAAAGAATCTGATCTAGGCAGCCTTAATGAAAACGCACTTGATCCTTTGCTTGCATCCGACACTTCTAGTTTTCTTGATAATTCTTCTTTAGACCAATGTTGTTCTCTACCCTCAGATTCTTGGTGCTTTGTCAAATGCTACTCTGATGAGTCAAGTAATATTTCAGCTCTGATTGACTCTTCTGTATCTGATGGATGTGATATTTGGGAGACTGACCTTTCTTCTGCTGGTTCTGAGCTCTCAGACTCTTGGTGCTTCAGCAGGCATTTAAATACTGTTGGCCACTTTAATTCAACTCCTTGTAAGACTGACAGTCCACTGGCTCATCAGGTAAATAATCAGTGTATAGAACCTGTTAAGCACCTTATTTTTACAGCTGAAGATGAAATTATGACTGAGCATGAAATAACAGTGCCAGTCAGCATCAGTTCTTCTGATTACTTAACTATGGAACTGTACACAGATCCTCCTCCTGAGGAAGTGGAGCAGAAACTACCAGCAATTGAGTGTTTGAGCCTGGAGGATTCATCTATCTCAAATGAGGAACATCGGATTCAGACACAGAAAAAATTCCAAGTCGAAGGGACTGAGCTCTTTGTGACTCCAAATGATAAGCCAACCAAGGATGAATTTGCAAAGACATTGCCGCAAAAGGCCCTTCATAAAAAAACGACACGGCAGATTTCCAATTCAAAAACAACAAAAGTGAAGCCATCTTTGAATAGTGCTTTGCAGTCCAAAGAAAGAAAACAAACGGACAATTCTGCAAAATGTTCTTCTCATCAACCGCTAATGTTTACCACAATGAACAGTCGAAGTTCTCAAGATCTGGAGAGAAAATCTGCTGCTACCAGAACAAAGAAGCAAGTAACTGCGAATATAAAACAGCCTCCTTATGACAAAGTGAAAACATCTACCGACCATGATAAATTAAAATCTCCCATTGGAGCAATTACAAAAATAAAGAAGGAACCAGTTTCAAATATGCAACCCCTGAATGTGCAGTTTTCAAAATCTGAGAAAATTCCTTGGAACACTGTCAGGTCCCCATCAAAACAAAAGTCTCAGCCAAAAGCCGTATCTCCCGACATCATCATTATTGATTCTTTGGAAACGACTCCCCAGACTCGCACAACAACAATGATGCCTCTGAAGTCTAAGATTCCAGCTTTTGACTATGTCAGCAAATCAGCTAAACCTGTATCTACAGAGAAGCGAAAGGCTCTGAAAGAGTCGAGCAGGCTATTGCAGGGGAAAACATCCTCTCAGGAAGGTAATCTCAAGCGGTCGTTTCCTCGGACAGGCCAACAAGTTGGCAGTAAACCGGTTCCTGATGAGGAAGACAAAGCAGACATTACTGGATCCCGTTTAGAACTGTCAGTGAAAAAGAGGCAAGTAAAAGGAAACCCTGTCTCTGCCCCTAACCCAGTTTCATGCATCCCTACCTCAGCTGCCAAAATGAAAAGGAAGTCACTAGATAGTCTTGCCACAAGCACTGTTACAGTGAGAAGGCTGAATACTAAAACAAGGCTCAAATCACCAGATGCAACTTGTGCTGGAGACACTTTAGCAGGCCTTGTTCCAGCAAAAGATAAGACTGCAAAGGCCTTATCTAGCAAGGCAGAGAAGCTTAGACGTCGGACTTTGGTAGTTCCGGCTTTAGAGATGAATGATGTCACAGTTGTAGATCTTGAACCTTTATCATCAACAAGTTCCAGCAATGACTGTTCAGTTGCTGAAGATATTTTTGATAAGCAAGTGACCACAAGGACAAAAAAGAGATGCCAATCATTAGAGTCTGCTTCCTTCCCTATTGAAAACTCTCTTGCTGATGCTGATCTAACTGTATTGCTGGTGACAGACTCAACACTTGTTGGTCATAATACCACAGAAGAAGACTATAAGAATGCTAGCAAAGCAAACAAACAATGCCAGTCTGTTGGTTTGGCTTCAATATTTCCCAAAGGCAACCTTGAAATTGTTGTCAACACTTCACCTGAACCTCGGGTCTTAGCACAAGGTCTAGCTAATGATATGCTAGCTGATGAGAATATCGGTAAAGTAGCAAGAGGTAAGAGAAAATCTCAGTCAATGGGATCTGTAGGAGTTAAGGAGTCTCAGCCTGAATCAGCCACGTCGGAACCTGTGTCTATTTTGGATGGGGGTGCTCCTGCTGCTCGAAGTCAGCCGATGCTTCGCAGATCAACCAGACGTAGCTCCATTGAACTCTCTTTGTCATCAAATCCAAATTGGAAGCAAATGTCTGCTGCCCAACACAGTAGCCAAAAGGTTGCACAGTCAGCTGCTGAAAATGCTGATGGCATGGCAATAAATGGTGATAATGATTCTGATGATGATGAACAACTAAGGGAAATCTATGCAAAGAAACCATATGTTCCTTTCTTTCCCACGAAACTGGAAACTATCTATAGTCCAACCAAAAAGCGTGGCGAGTGCAGTGTGTTTAGTAAGCGAAAATTAAGTCGAATGATCACTTTTCAACCCTCGGAGGCACGGCTTAAGAACCGGCGGAAAAAGGCGATGAGGAATTGGCCATTTCTCATTGAAGTTCCCGATGCAGATGAGAAGCTACATAAATTATTGAATATGCCATAATGTTGAGTAAAAGGAAAAAAAATAGATTATTTTTTTAAATATGCTAAATGTGATCATTCAACATTAACAAATGAAAATTCAAGAAAAGTAAATGGTAAAAAAAAATAAAACATTGTTCCAAGGACGACAACTCATCCATGTAAAATAAATTTTGCTCACTTTCAATTATATACTTGTATTTTTCCATATTTGTTGTGAGAGTATATAATGATGTTTCACTTTAACTGGGAAAGCCACTTAACACACACACACTCACACATATATATATATATATGTATATTATGAAACGGACTAAATCTGACAATTATTTTAATATATTTATTGTTTATATGTTATTTTTATAGATACAAATATTTAAGTAAATGCTCTGTTTATAATAAACAGTATTAACAACATTTACTGGCCTGAATGTCCAAGAAATTTCTTAGAAATATATGTGTCCTCCGACAGGAATCGAAGTTGTATCCTACGCAGAACCATCATATGGCCTGATTTGCTATACCATTTAGCTACCAAGGAAGTGTCTGGTTAATAAGCTTGAATTACTGATTTTAAACTATAAATTTCCCACGTTTTTCTTGAATACTCATATCAGTAATTCAACATTGCCAACCAGTTGCTTCCTCTATAGCTAAATGGTATAGCACATCAGGCTATATGATGGCACTGTGTAGGATACAGGTCTGATTCCTGTCAGAGGACATAGATTTCTAAGAAATTTCTCGGACATTCAAGCCAGTAAATGTTGTCAATACTGTTTATTATAAACAGAGCATTTACTTAAATATTTGTATCTATAAAAATAATGTATAAACAATAAATATATATATATACTGTGGGGTTTTCTGTTATCACAGTATGGGATTCCTACTAACAAAAGTGATGGAAAGAAAAAGACTCTAAGTCAATTCAACTAGATATAAAAAAAATTCTAAAATTTCCAGCATCCTTTGTTCATGTGCATATTTAATCATATCAACATAACAAATTTCGTCCACTGAAATCCTGAACAACCAAATGCATTACAAGTAAACTTTTTACACTTTGTCATACATTTTCTCCAATATTGTTCTTGATATATAAAAATATATGTCATAATATATATATATATATATATACACTTACCTGAATAAACAATAGTAAAGGTTTGAAATAACACTTTGATCAAATCATTCTAAACCAGTGTGCACTATTTTTTTTTGTCAACATGACACTCAGTATAGGTATCTTGATTATTGACAAACTGTTTTGCATGCAAAAAAGATTCTTTTCTATACATATGAAATTTTATAAAAAAAATTTATTAACATTTGTTGCTTCCAATTGGAGACAACATGACTCAGGACTAATCTTATTTTACTACTGAATATTTATAAATGTCCATCTCATTTATTTTGCATGATTGTGTAAATATGCGCCAATGCCTGGCACCTTTTGTGCTGTGTAGAAACGAATGGAATGCATGCAATATATAGCATATTTTCCAACTTACAAAATGCATAAGACTACTACTACTGTCCAAATCCCTAGCCAACCATTTCAAGCTTCAGTAAATGACTCCTTCAGAATAATATACATACACTGGATGCAGCATAATATTTGCATAGACGTTTTTTTTTTTTTTTTATCCTTCTCTAAATTTATGCCTCATATGCTGGCAAATATGAAAACTGTTCACACACACACGTATATATATAATGAATATATGTAAATAGCTCTTCACATGTGTGCACATAATATATACAGGGTGATAGAAAAGTAACTCCCAATTATAGGTATGATGGACTCTCCCATCTAGCCAGTTTTACCCTGAAGATCCGTTTAGGTTAAACCTATGTAGATTTGTCTGGCTCCTTAGGATTATTTTAGTTTATCAGTCTACTTAGTGTATTGAGCACTCTACATTTTAGTCTTTCTACACGTTTGGGTTTTTTTCTTTCAACTTGGAGCTTAAGCACTTGACGATTGATTTCGTATTTTGTTAATGTTCTTGGTTCTTTCTTTTTATATATATATATATATATATATATATATATATATATATATATATATATATATATATATATATGGTTTTTGGAACATTTGCTTTCTGACCTTGAGGCCCAGGCTCGAGTCTCACCATGTTCGATTTGTCAGGAAGAAGACTTCATGATGTTATCAGTCTGGAGGGGGATGATCCTAGCATGCCGCACCTTTGGAAAGTGCCGAAAACCACACCACAGGTTGACCCAAGCCTTGTGAGTGAAATTGGATAGATGGAACACTTGGAGACATCAATAGCTGTGCTAGCACAAAGTCACAAGTCATCATGACCGATGGTTTTGAGGGTCTTGTTCAGATTGTTGATTATTCTAGATATTGTCTCCCAGAAACTGTAACTAAGGTCTGCTCAGTATAGTTGCAGTATAAACCACAGGTTGGCTCTGTGGATGTTGAACAAACAAAAATGTGACTGTGCAAGAGTCTGCAGTAGGGATTGGCTAGCTATTATATCTCCAAAGATGATGCATATTGGGATTGCCCCAACCAGACCGATAGCATCAAGAAGTCACCTTCCTGACAAATCGACCATGGTGAAATTCAAACCCAGGTTTCATGGTCAGAAAGCAAATGTTCTAACCACTCAAAAACTATACCATTGGTTGACCCAAGTGTTGTGAGTGAAATTGGGTAGACGGGAGCCACCAGTGGCTGTGCTGGCACAAAATCAAGTCATTGTGACTGGGTTTGAGCATGCTGGCTTTCTTCAGATTGTTGATCATGCTCGATAACGTGGTCTCTCCCAGAAAATGAAACTACGGTCTGCTCAGCATAGTTGCAGTATAAACTGCAAATGGACTCTGTGAGTGTTGAACAAACACAAATATGCCTGAGCAGGTGTCTGCAATAGGGATTGGCTAGCCACCCTAGTAGACGTGTATCCTCGAATATGATTTTTATTTTGCCCAGCTATTTTATATATATATATATATATATATATATATATATATATATATATATGAATTTATAAATTCATGAATCATTCAAAAAAAACAAATATAGATGTTAATGATTTAAATGGCGAGAATACATCTTCATAAACAATATAAATAAATAATACACCAACCCCGAACTTGTTATGAATATATGATCCCTGTTTATAAATTCCAGTTGCATAAGGTCTTTTAATTTTTTACAAGTTTCGTCTGTTCCTACAGACATCCTCACGTTCCAAAACAATAACACATTTCTCATAGCATTTTTTTGGATTACATCTCTATTTTCGTTGTCCTCTTATTACCGAGAAGTAAAAACAAGAACAAAATCTATTTCCATACCTGAGGATGTCTGTAGGAACAGACGAAAGCTTGTAAAAAAATCAAAAAGACCTTATGCAACTGGAATTTATAAACAGGGATCATATTCATATACAGGTTCAGGGTTGGTGTATCTTATTTATATTGTTTACGAAGATGTATTCTTGCTATTTAAATCATTAACCTCTATATTTGTTTTTTGTATGAATGATTCATGAATTTATATAAAGAATTTATATGTGTCTGCTTATTTTCAATTATGATCAGTGTAGAGTTCTTTTTTAATCATAATTAGTTACCTCCCATAGAGTGTAAACATTCACTGCATAGCACAAAAATTAGCAGTCCTCGCTCCACATGTAAAATTATAACTTTCAGATGAACAGCAATTTTCTTTTGGGAAATAATGTTCACTACATTTTTGCCTTAAAAACACACCCTGAGGATGGCATTGTGTTAATGTCAAAATTACTCAGAATAAAACCGATATGTATCAACATAGTAATTTTCTCTTTTCTTTTAATACCAACATCAGAAAGCTCATCCGAGAATATGAACAGTTTCTAGTGAAAATAAGGTGATTTGTCTAAATTATTCAATGAAAACATGCTGCCAAAATGCATGCACTCACACACACACACACACACACACACACACACACACATATATATATAATAAGATAATATATACACATATATAAGAGAAATGTTTATAGATTTAACATTTTTATTTAAGCTTCATCATAAATTTGGTTTTAAATGAATTACAGAAGAGAAAAAGTTCTGTGTTATTTGTCAGACCTGACCAGTCAAGCAGACTTCACATCTGTCTTGTGGTGTGTGTGTGTGTGTGTGTCTGGATTCTAGTGGGCATTTTTGTGTCAGTCTCCATGTGTATAATTCTTGAAGATGGTAGTGAGATGTTTGTGTATTTTATTTCTTGTTGGTCTTACAAGATTTAAATGATAAAGTGCTTGCTAGTGGGTGCTTTTGTTTCTGTCTGGTTAGTGTCCATGTATTGGGCACCTTGACATGGTGTAATGGTTAGCAAGCTTGTCTTGCTAGAACAATTGCAACCGAGTAGTGAGTTTGATCCTCACTTTCGGCCTTGTGCCATATCTAAACTGCATTTAGATAAATCACCATTTATTGATTGGAGGATATTTGCTGTGGGAATGAAAGATTTAGTTATATCAGCCGCACATATGCTGATTTTCAATTCTTTAAGTGTGTTATGAAAAAGGGTGTTAAAAATAAATATTTTCTTCATATTTCAGCATGTACTTTTATTATTAGGATGGCATTTTTTTTTAATCAAATTATACTCACAGACACTACCAAACTGACAAAAATGTCCACTAGAATGCCAAAGACATTAAGACCATGAGACAAAAACACATAAGATCTACTTGATCAATGAAAAACGACACAGAGTTAAAAGTACCAGAACATTCTTTTTTACAATTCATTTCTAAAAAATTTCTGATGAAGCTTAAATAAAATTGAAACGTGTTAAATTTATAAATGTTTCCTATTTGTTCCTTATCCTATCATTTTGTCAGATTCCAATCCGTATTTGATCCCAGTTCATATATCATTCAAATTTAAATTGTATATATCTGATCGTACCTTCTTATATACAAATGTCTTGTCCATGTTTATCAAATATTTAATATCTATTGTTACTAACTGCCTGTGCTTACAT